AGTGTGGTGCTTTGCTTCTTTAAGAAAGCCTGCTGAGTGGTGTTATAGGACAGTTAGTGTTTTGATTCATTCTGAATCTCTTGCTGATTGTGGCTATTGGTTTGTTCCACCCCCATTTGCTGTGTGTTGTAAAAATCAAGAATGATAGATGAGTGGCTCTTCCGTGACAGATAAACACTTCTTATTTTCTTCAGTTTAAAGAATTAAATTCTGTGTGCATTGATGCATAACGTTGAGTTAGACTTAGGAAAGGAACATAGGCTGAGAGTGGCATCAGTTTAGCTCTGTTTAAATGGCTGTAGCTAAATTGGAGCAAATTGTTAATGTCAGAAGATTTGTTTCAGTTCTTCAAATTCTTAGTTCTAGTTTAAACTGCAATGGTGAATGCATTGGTTTAAAAACAGTGTCCAAGTCTGCTGCTCTTTCAAAAGATAAAGCTTTATAATTTAGAAGAAGCATTTATGATGAGAAATTCTAAAGCTATGGGCACTGGGGATGAGGGTGGTTTGCAACTCTGAAAGTGGTGGGAGAGGAAGAATTTGAACCTTTCAGTGATTTCCTACTTTGAATATGATTGCTGAGTGGTTTATGTAAACCCATTTTATGTTGCAATCCAACAGTCTTAAACACATGTGCAGAGTCTTACTTCCTCTAAGGGAATGATAATTGGCAGCTGAAAAGCAGTAACTTCTTGGTGGTTTTTAATGTGATGACAAACATTCATCTGAACACAGTCCTTCATGTGCTCAAGAGGGAAGAATACTTTTGATCATTGCGTGTCATGAAGAAACCGAAAAAGTACATCTCTGTGCTACACTCTGTGCAAAAGTAGTCAGTATAAACAGTGTGTCCTTCTTCAGATCATATATTAGAAAGGCATTAGAGAGATTGAAAAATACTATCTGTAGATGAAGGAAACAAAAGATTACATTACTTGCATAGTTTTCAGGGACAGAGGAAGAAAAAGGTTCTCCTGGACCAGAATGCATATCATTGCCACCATAGGTGACTATGTCATGCCATATTAAGGTGGAACAAGATAATTACATTGAAACTAGTTTGGTTTTGAGTCTATTCGTCCATTGCCCTGCTGTGAGCAAGACAAATTTGTCATTTACTGCTAAACTTATTACTTACAACGTACGGACCCGAGTATTGTTAAAGTCGAATAGTGTGGATTTTGAAATTATTCATATGAGTTTCTGCTTCTACCTACAGTAGAGATGGGTACTTAGATCTTTTCAAAGGAAGGCCTATTTACTGCATTTGCAGAGCTCACAGCTTAGAGGAATGGTGAAACTGCTGTATGCTTTTTTTTTAGCCATATCTACTATTATAATTAAGTCTCACTCCTTACTAACTCTCTTTTAAATCCCTAGAGTGTTATGCAACATAATTACCACTGCAGTGTCAAGATAGAGGTAAAGTAGTTAGAACTGTACTTAGATGTTCACTTTGAAAGTAAAGCTTTCCTTATTTTTAAATCAGTTGGCTTCCTGTGAGATAACATGGTGGAAGAATTTGTAAAGAATTATAAATGTGGAGGAGCTAAAGCCTTGCAAATGAACTTGGGACGTGTGATTTCATGAGAGACATGCCAAAGAAGCTTTTGGGAAGGGAAGATGAGACATCTGTTTGGTAGTGTGTAAGAAATGATGTGAAATAAATCTAAATAAAAGGCTGTTTACTTGAATTCCTCTTACTTTTAATGATATGTGGATTCAATGGTAAAAAATAAAAAGGTGTGCTTTGAGGGTGTGACCCTCCTGCTTTTGTACTACTCCTGTCCTCAGATTTTTAAGTATTTTTAAGTATTTCGGAACAGAATAAAATGGATACTTGGTAGAGATGAAAGGGGAGTAGAGCTTTTAGCTTTTCTAACATGCTGCTGGTGAGGCTTTCTGGAGTCTTACTGCACTTCTGATAAACTCTTGAGGGAGGTGCTGGAAATAGAGTAGCAGATAGTTCTATAGATACACGTAACTGCTTAAAGTGAGTGGCAAAGTTGCAAGATACTTGAGACTAGAAGCTTGAATTTGGTTTAATGGAGATGATAAAAGGACAGATGTGATGAAAATTCAGTACTTTTGTATGGACTCGTGTTGAGACACAAGAGGTGTGATTAACCAAGAGGCAGGAATCTGAGAAAACTGCTGGTAGTCATAAAAGAAAAAAAAAAAATATCTTGAAGACGTGTAAAAGGTTTCAGCAGAATCTGGAAAAACCCAGGATGCATATTAAGCAGATAAATAACTTTGAGTTGTGTATTTGGGAGAATGCTTGTGGTCGGCTGGGCTAACAAGTTGGGAAGGAAGGTAGGTTGTATTCTATCCATAGTTGGAAGTGAGAGAGAATGGGTGAACTGGAGATTTGATCTAATTATTTTGTAATTTAAGCAGTAGTCCTTCAATTCTGCCAAATACAAGGTGAGTGAAAAGAGAGGCTCCTAGATAGTGTATTATACAGAAAGGGAGTTTGGAAACCTGATCAGCAGTTAAAGAAAAACTGGAAATACATGCTTGTTATTTCACCTATTGCTTCTGAATGTTTCTTCTGAGGTGGTAGGGAAAGTATCTAAGGCAACAGAGAAGATAAAATGTCAAGAAGCAGAAGAAACAGTAGCACTTGAGGAGCCCGGGATAATGCTGAGTTGCTGTAGCTGACTATCCCTGTCCTGATACTTGTCAGTGCTACCAATGGCTTGAATGTAGAGAGAGAAGATAAAACCCTACATATGCAAAGAAAACTAAATTTTAGGTGTCTGGTCTTGTAGTGGAGTAGAAAATCCTGAGTTGGTGGGTGTCTTCATTCTGTGTAACATTTGAGGTGTGATAGATGGCTTAGGTTTCACACAAGCCAGAATTCAGTGGTAGTCCTCAAGTCAGCTTATCATACTATCTGTGCGTGTTCTGAATGTTTGGCTCTACAGTGTCACGAATGTGACATACGAGTATTTGCAAGGGAAAGATTAAAATAAGTGTTCTTTCTCTCCTGTGAAAACTAGGATATTTAATGTTAGTGATTATATTCTACATGAAAGATACAATTTAAAATGCAATTTTCGGTGCAACTACTCTGTAGCTGCCAAATATAAATAAAAATGACCATGTTGCTATTTATGCTTCAGTACTTCAGCAGGCTGCCTAGCTTGTTTCAGTGTAGTGTAAGTTAATGGAAAATCTGAAGAGAATGAAAAGGAAACAAAGTCTGCCAAAAGATAATAATATTTGTTCGAAGAGATGTGCTAAAGAATTTCTTTACATACTGAAGCCAGTATAAATACTGCTTGTAGTTCTGAGGATTTTGTGGCTGTTGCCAAAATTGTCAGTGTAGAAACAGCTGTGGATTTTTTCCTTGAGCTATGATTATATGGTGACGAAATTTGTGTTCTCCGTTCTAAACAGGTGTTAACCACCAAATCGTTATATAGTATACATGATTGAGTATGTCAGTTTCCAGTGGAGAAACAACTTGTTCTTGAATATGCAGAGTAAGTTTGTTAGAATTAATTCAGACTAACTCGGTTGAAAATGAGGTCTGCTGCATTTCAGAGATTTGTTGTTTCTGATGCTTTCCCTCCCTGCCCCCAGCTTTTCAAGTGGTGAAATCTCAGCTATAAATCATTTGCCAGAGAAGAAATTGATTATGAAACAGAGGTTATATTAAACTCTTGGCTGCTGCTAGAGTTTCAAGTGACTTCCCATTTCTGTGGCTTCCTGTGGTCAGATGAAAACATAAAATTTCTGTGTTCAGTTTCATTTTAATTCTGAAGCTTTTGAAAGCGGTTATAACAATTCTGAGTAAAAGACTAGAATTATTGATACCTGTTTTTTGCTTTATAGCCCCCACTATCAAAAGTCTTAATGCTTTGGGAACAATGCCTGTTTAAATGTTAGTTTTCAGTTTGGAAGTTGGTTAATACATTCATTTTAAGTAAGTCTTTGGTGATATTGGAATAAAGTCATTGAGAAAATTTTATACTAGTTGGAATTCTGTAAGTTCTGAAATACGGGGTTTTTTATTCTTATAGCAGCAATTTAAATACCAGTTTAACAATTCTAGAAATGAAATATAAGCTCTTGTTAAATATGTTTTTTGGTTAAATAAGAGAAAGCTTTGTGTTACAGATTGTTACATTTTAGTGAAACTAACCTGGATTTGAATCAAATTATCCATTTTTAACTATCTTGTTTATAACTACTCAACTACATCTTGCAAGTAAATACCTCAAGGTGTGGGTAATACAGGTGTAATTGGTAGAAACAGTACTTACAAGTCCACTTGTGACATTCCCTGATGCTGTCGAGGAGTTTTTCATTACTTTGCAATGAAGTAGTAGGACTTTTGGGTGTATATAGAAGTTGCCCAGGTCTCTGATACCATACTTGTCTTCATTGTTTTCATTATCTCACTGGGGGTAGTCAGTAGAACAATATTTACTAGTTTGTTGTCACACTGTGTGCTCAGTAACTGCACCTTTGAGTTGTCAGATTTCTCATTGCTGAAAGATGCACCATTTCATTTCCAAATGCTATAGTTAATCTCATAACTAGCAAATAGTACTGTATAGATGCATTTTTGTATTTTTTGTTAGGTACAGATTTCTAATTTTTTTGCTTTCTAGATGCTTTATTATAAAAAAATACATAAAAGAACTGTTTTTATACACCTTTTAAATGATGTGAATAATCTTGTAAGTGTTCTAAGGAGCTGCACATAATTTTTATTTCAGTAGCTGAATTCCATAAACAGGATGAATAGGCAGCAAATTTACAGACATGAAGAAAACATTTAGGAGGGGTGCTGCAATTAAAAAAAAAAAAACCCACAAAAAACTAAACAAAACCAGAGTAGATTTTTCTTTCAAGTTACCATGATGCTCATGAAGAGAGGAAGAAAATGGCATTAAGATTTGGGAAAGATTAGAAAGAGAAGACTGTCATGCTAGATTATAACCTGTTACTGTATTTAATACCTAATATACGTTTTTCCCCCCACAGAAATTAGCAGAGTACGGAAAGACATGTATAACGACACATTAAATGGTAGTACGGAGAAGAGAAGTGCAGAATTACCAGATGCTGTGGGACCTATTGTACAGTTACAAGAGAAACTATATGTGCCTGTAAAAGAATATCCAGATGTAAGTATATCTTTTTAGTCCCTAAATTATTTTTTGATCCTTGTGGTCGTCTTTAAATGTAAATTTCATGTGATGCTACCCTTGGATCACACTGAATTGCTTTTGACAAGATACTTCTTAGGGAAGCAGTGTATGTTCCACTTGGTGGCTTGATTTGTAGTGAGTGTGAGTGGAAGAAGGTTGCCTTAAATACCAAACCAGTATGGATTATAAAGCTGTAGATCTAAGATCTGAATTATCGTATTCATTCTGTACTGTCAGTCCTGAGACACTGTGTAGTGAGTTTTATAAGGGAAATAGTTCTTGGGACAGTGTTTTTTCCTCTTAGTATGTCTCGAAAAGTCAGCTGGAGAATCCTTAGAGACCCTTTAGAGACCTTTTGGAGACTGTACTTAATTACTGTTTGTCCCATACCTGTGTAACCAGTTCTGTCGCATGTAGAAGTGTCTTTATCTTGGGGTTGGGGTTGTTTTCCACCTTAAGCAAAGCTCCTTGCTTGCATGCCAATGTTACGTTCTCCATTGGGTGTTCTGTTCTATTATACACCTACCTTTTTGAGGGAGAATGGTTTCATTTAACTAGAAGAACTATTTGGAACTCCTGTGGTCTGAATGGTTTCTTAAAACAACTTGGGAAAAATAGTCCTGTCAAAATCTACCCCAACGATTTTCATTGATCACTGACAAAATAAGAAATTGTGTTATTCCTCCATAATAGAATTTAGAGGTCATGTTGCAGTGGAGGAGTGCAGGGTCCAAGTGAGGCATTTGCACATTGAAGTGGTATAAAGTAGGAGAAAGTACAGAACAGCAAAAAATGGAAGCAACACTTGTGTATTTCTTTGGCTTTTTTTTGTATCATTAGCTAGATTAAGCTCTCCAAATTGAGCTTTATTATTTTAATGCTGCTTAGAACATACAGGCCTCTAAATAAAACCTCATTGTGCCATACTCCATTAAGAAAATTAAGTGCAAGTCATTATTCAGAACAGAATATTTAGACAAATGTCTCTTCTCCCTTTTCAGTTTTCACGAAGTTGTTTTGTTGCTTTTGGGTTAAAATACCTGTGCTGGGAAAAGTGTTTGGAGAATTTGCATTGGCAGTAAGGACATCTCTCTCCCCTTCCCTTCCGTTTTTCTTCCAAATTAAATATATGCATATGCATATCTATATACATATATGTACATATATGTACATGCATACATATCCCCACACCAAAAACAGTGTTTCTTTTGAAATTCCTTGGAATTACAGATTTTTGAGAGGAACTGTGCTATGCAATTTTTCCCGTAAAGCGATGCAAGTAGCTCTGTACTTAGTTATCTGTATATCTCTTAGAGTTATATTACTTACTGGCTTTTTGAAACATAGCTTAGTTGTTGAAATCTTTGTTTTATAACTCAACAATGCATCCTTTGTGAAGAGTTGCCTTAGTTATTGGTTGTAGTTTTTACAGAACTTGAAGCTTGCTGTACCAGGATCGTGAGATAGCAGGAAGAAAAAGGGGTTGGACTTCCTGTAATTATTATTAAGCTTTTCTTCTAGAAATCAAGGGTGTAGTAGCTTAGCTCTTCACTGCCAGTTAATTATCAAATATAGTGTAAATAAGCAGGAAAGAGTTTTGTCTCTAGTTACTGTTAAAGCACTTGTGTGACTTTGGGTGTATGATTTCTCTAGCTAGTGCTAGCTCTTTGTGTGCCTTCAGAAGAGTGCCCTTGAAGTGGTCACTAATTTATTTTAATGGAGTCTTACAAATTCAGAAGTTGGAGAGACTTGTGATTTGTATACATGTGACCTGGAATAAAAAGGTAGTTGGTTCTTGTGAGATGATGTGAAATGTTTGCTAGAAGATGTACAGCTTCTACCACTGTGGTGGTACTTGGCAGTTCAAGCTTCATTGGGGAGCCAAGCCCAGCGTTCTCTATGTGCTCCTGCCTGTCTACGTGTTGTCTGTATTTGTTCCTAGCTACTCAGAATGGGATCTGCACAGCCTCAGTAATTGGTTAAGCAACTAGAATATAGCACCACATACAAGAAAAGCTGTGGTTTTGTATGTAGGCCGTTTCTAAGATCTTCTGCAAGTTAGAAATTAAATAACCTGCTTTGCATTCAGGCTAGTACAGCGTTCACAAGGTCTGGAGTACAGTGACTCCAGCTTGTCTTAAAAAAACCCTGTAAAATTCACTTGTAAAGATTAATTTCACCTGTAAAGATAATTTCATTGTAATCACACAGTGTTATGTGAAACTTCTTACTCATATCTAGCAATTGATTTAATTGTTAACAGATACAGGGAGGACATGCTGTGCAGACTATCAGAGTAAGTTTGTCAGATAAATCCAGTTAATTCTTTCTATCGCCATCATTCTCTTCCAGCTGACAATCTTGTGTACCTTACAAAGACATAAAGATGGATAAACTTAAAAATTATTCAGAGTGACCAGAAACAGTTTTCTGGTGTAAATCTTGTGTACCTTACAAAGACATAAAGATGGATAAACTTAAAAATTATTCAGAGAGTGACCAGACTGTTTTCTGGTGTAGATTAGATACTATTTTTAATAACAAAAATTTAAAAAAAAAAAAAAAAAAAAAAAAAAGGAAAAGTCCTGGAGTGGGAGGGAAGCCTTAGTGTTAGTTAGAACTAAAATAATGGTCTGCCATAAGTTTAAGCAAACTTGTGTTTTATAGACATATATAAACATACATATATAAATATATGTTTAAAAGATGAAACAGTACGTTTTCATAGCCTACATCACTTCAATATTACTGTTTGACTGTCCTTTGAGTACCTTAATAGTTTAGGTTTTTATATGAGTGCATATTGAGTATTTTTATTCTAATTTTTATTCTAAGACCATAGTTGATGCAAGGTTCAACTTACCAAAAAATCGATTGTCTGAAACAGCCTGTAGTTTTTAAATGCCAACTGTGTAGAGTCTGCATTTCTACTTCTGTAGTAGTAAGTGGAAGATATGCAAAAATCTTGCTAACGAATAACTAGTTTTTTGTATGTTGTATTAATAAGAAGCTTTTTTCCATGATGTAATCACAATCTGAAAATTGTGTAACTGTTGGGGTGGTCTGCTTTCTGGCTCATTGTTTTTCCATTACAAGCTACAGTGATGCAATTGTGTATGTTTGTATATATTATTTTCTTCTAGCACCCTTGGAAGGTGTTAGATCTTTATGGGAATTTTAGTCTTAAAACTGTGATTTGAGCTACTTAGCTGTTCTGAACCATGTATGTACTCCTGAAACTTGAGAGAGAAATTGTGCAGAAGGCACCCAGAAGATTAAATTCCATTAGTTTTCCATAATTTGCCCTTCGGTTAAAAATGTGTTCTCTCTACAGTTAAATCTCTGTATGCTCATTTAAGCCTTTGGTGTTACAGTTTGAAGGCATTTTCAATTCATGGAGAAATATCTTCCATCAGAGTTTAAAAAAGTAAGAAGAAAAGATGTCAGGAAAATTATTGAGCTCTTAGGAAGCAGAAGAATGGAGGATATGCTATTGTTTGTGGGTGAATAGTTAATAATCTTTAGCATTTCTTATGCTTCAGATAAATGATTAATTTTCTTGAATTTCCCTAAAGAGCTGAGACTAAACTTTCTGTCTGATATCAATTTAAACAGTTTTTGGAATTAGTACCTACAAATGTTGGACTGAATAAATGTTTTTCTATTATAATCATGGCTTTATTATTAATAAGTACCCTGTTAGCTCTGATTAATGTGAAATTCTCTGTTGGAACTCTTCTGCGCCTCTTCAGTAAAAATGTAAGAACTCAATAATTATTGCATCTAAAGTAGCATGTCCTTTGGGTATACTGAAGCTCAAAGGCCAGCAGTGATAAACAGCTTGTGCATACTTTCCTGACCATTTTAGTTAATACTGTTTAATTAGTACAACAGAACGATGAACACAGGGATTCATTTTACTATGGGGAACTTACTGACAAAACGTTTAAATCCTTTTTCAGTTTGGTAATATCAGAGTTTAACAGCATCCCTAATATGGATTAGGAAAATGATAACATCCTCTTTATTTATTGTTCTGATTCTTTTACTTAAGCTCTTCATTCCCTAGTGGTAAACAGGGAAGGAGGCTAAAAGAGCTGGCCTTGTTTACCCTTGCAATAGGAAGGAAAGGGAAAATATAACTGGTCTCTGTAAATAAACTTGGGCTACAGAGTACCAGCAGGGCTGAAGGAACATGTGGCAAAAGGTCAACTACTGATACAAGTACAAATGCATATGAAAAAACTAAAATGGTTCGATTACTCATTTCCAGTCTGAATGAAATATTTGGAAAAACATTCTAGTAGAAGTAATGGGAGCAAAAGAGTTAATTTTGAGTTTGAACTTTATATATTTATGAGAGGCTTTATGCACTCTGGTTGCAAATAGTAAGGGAACGGATTCATTGAGAAAGGTCCCCTTTGTTTAGCTGCTAATAAAACGGAGACATGCCTTAATATTTGTGTGAAGCTTTTTACCCTTTCTGTCTAATGTTTTATTGGATATCCTTCCATTACTGGCCATCTGATTCACCTTTTGAAAGATAAGTTTCTTTTGAGCCCTGATTCACACTCAATAGCTTACATTTTTTTGGTAGCACCTTGCTGAAAGATGACATACATTGTCATAATTTTATTCAGAAATAAGCCTGTCAAATCTCCAGAGCATGTTTGTCCTCAGGGGCAAAAGGATGGAAGACAGTCTAGAATACATTGGAGATAAAAACCCTGTCCTTTAGTCTCTGATGGTAATCTTGCAGGCTCAGCATCAGCTCAGCAGTACTGATGAACTTGGTCCATATCTCATCCTTGTGAGACTTATTTCTCCCCCATTTAACTCTTCAAGCATTGAGTGCTATTAAGTTAGACAGGTGATTACCTAGTCATTTATCTGTTAATATTCTTATTCCCATTTCATTCTTACTTTCAAGTTTTGCTCTTTAACTATTTGCAGATACTCTGGTGTGTGTGTGTAAATAAAAAAGAAAG